TTCTAATGAGTGTCTACCAAGTTTGTTCAAATAAAAGCCCTAGGGTCAAAATTGGCCCCGCCCCAGGGGGGTCATTGATTTTCCCTATATGCATATAGTAAAAACTTAAAAAATCTTCTTTTAAAGAACCCAAAGAGCTAGAGCTAAGATATTTGGCATGAAACATCTTCTAGTGAGTGTCTACCAAGTTTGTTCAAATAAAAGCCCTGGGGTCAAAATTGGCCCCGCCCCAGGGGGTCATTGATTTTCCCTATATGCATAATTAGTAAAAACTTAAAAAATCTTCTTTTAAAGAACTGTAAAAGCTAGAGCTTAGATATTTGGCATGAAACATCTTCTAGTGAATGTCTACCAAGTTTGTTCAAATAAAAGCCCTGGGGTCAAAATTGGCCCCGCCCCAGGGGGTCATTGATTTTCCCTATATGCATATAGTAAAAACTTAAAAAATCTTCTTTTAAAGAACCCAAAGAGCTAGAGCTAAGATATTTAGCATGAAACATCTTCTAATGAGTGTCTACCAAGTTTGTTCAAATAAAAGCCCTGAGGTCAAAATTGGCCCTGCCCCAGGGGGTCATAGATTTTCCCTATATGCATATAGTAAAAACTTAAAAAATCTTCTTTTAAAGAACCGTAAGAGCTAGAGCTTAGATATTTGGCATGAAACATCATCTAGTGAATGTCTACCAAGTTTGTTCAAATAAAAGCCCTGGGGTCAAAATTGGCCCCGTCACAGGGGGTCATAGATTTTCCCTATATGCATATAGTAAAAACTTAAAAAATCTTCTTTTAAAGAACCCAAAGAGCTAGAGCTAAGATATTTAGCATGAAACATCTTCTAATGAGTGTCTACCAAGTTTGTTCAAATAAAAGCCCTGGGGTCAAAATTGGCCCCGCCCCAGGGGGTCATTGATTTTCCCTATATGCATATAGTAAAAACTTAAAAAATCTTCTTTTAAAGAACTCAAAGAGCTAGAGCTAAGATATTTAGCATGAAACATGTTCTAATGGGTGTCTACCAAGTATGTTCAAATAAAAGCCCTGGGGTCAAAACTGGCCCCGCCCCGGGGGTCATTGATTTTCCTTATATGTGTATAGCAAAAACTTAAAAATCTTCTTTGAAAAATCCTAAATAGCTTGAGTTTAGATATTATACATGAAACATTTTTAAGTAAATATCTACAAAGTTTGTTCAAATAAAAGCCCGGGGGTCAAAATTGGCCCTGCCCTAGGGGCGTCATTGTTTTTAACTATATGTGTATAGTAAAAACTTAAAAAATCTTCTTTTAAAAAACCCAATGAGCTAGAACTTAGATGTTTAGCATGAAACATCTTCTTATGGGTGTCTACCAAGTCTGTTCAAATAAACAAATAAAAGCCCTGGGGTAAAAATTGGCCCGGGGGGGGGGGGGGGGGGGCTATATACAGGTGAGCGACCTCAGGGCCATCATGGCCCTCTTGTTTCCTTTGATGTAGTCATGAAATTTAGGCTGTGTGAAATATGACCTTTACCACCAAATTCACTAGACTCAAGTGCATTGATATATTCCTACTCTGATCTTTTATTGGATTAACAATAGATTTAACCACTAATCTGATAATAAGAATTAGATAGATCAGGAATCTATGCATTATGACAATCTTCAATTGCATAGAAACAAAAAAAATCTGTTCCTACACTACTATTTAGTGTTGTATTAATGCGGTGGCATAGCATTTTTCTCAAATGCGATCTTGTTACACTTTGAATTTTACCCGGGACATAACTCTGAAACTATAAGAGATATCATCAGGAAACTTTATAGATAGATAGATCTCATTGAATAGAAGTGCAGTGCAAAAAAAACATAACTCTGCCTTGCCTTATTTTGAAGTAATTGCCCTTTGTTTATTTTTACTTTTTGACTTTTGTCCTGGACAATACTTTAAAACTATAAGAGATATCAACATGAAACTTTGTAGGTAGCTAGATATAATTGGATAGAATTGCAATGCTTAAAGAACCTAAACAAAGCCTGGTCTAATTTTTGAGTTATTGCCTTTTGTTCATTTTTACACTTTGACTTTTACGCGGGACATAATTCTGATATCATCAGGAAACTTTATAGATAGATAGATCTCATTGAATAGAAGTGCAGTGCAAAAAAACATAACTCTGTTTTGCCTAATTTTGGAGTTTTTGCCCTTTGTTCATTTTTTAATACTTTCCTGTGTCCAGAACCTTCTCGGGGAGCATCACCCGGTTCAACCGGTTCTTGTTTTAAAGTTTTTACTATAAGTTTTTACTATATACATACAGTAAACTTTACATATAGCGAACACGGTTATAGCGAACTTCCGGTTATAAGGAACAAAATATTTTGGCCCGAATATCACCCTTCTTTATTTAATGTAAAAAATTACGGTTACAGCGAACACGGTTATAAGGAATTGTCGCTTATAAGGAACTAATTTTTTAGTCCCAATGCCATAAAAAGAACAGAAAATTACACTTTTATAACGAACTTCAAAATATCGGCTATCCGTAAACAAATCACGCATTTTCTACTTTCGTTTTCATAGGCACATATTAAAACTTGGCCAAATGTAGCGGATATATTAGGAACAAATAATGACAATTAATGACAGTCAATCTTCTGAAGACGAAATCTATTTAGATGATCTGCCGGTTGTGTCAAAAAAATGAAGCTATTGATTGTTTGCACAAGATTAGGTCATACTTTGAGTCTAATGCACATGTTGAAGAAACAGTTTTTAAAAGTTTATTGGATATTGAATTTAACATGAAGAGTTGTAAACATTCCCAAACTAAAATTATCGACTTCGTCAAAGCAAAGTGATTATTTTTGTGCATGATACTGTATTGTTAATAAATAACAATATTGCATATATGATACATATCATATAATTATCTTATAGATATATTTATACATAAAAATTATATTAAAATAAACAACATTGCAATTATTCCTTTTTTTCTTTATTGAATCAATATAAGGGAGAAAACAGTGACAAACCCAAGAGTTATTTCTCTTAATCAAATGCTCTTCTAAATGGAAGACGTCGGTAAACAATTAGTTCGTTATATGTAAAACTGTTCGCTATAAAAACTTCTGATACAAGGAACTAATTCGCTATATGCTTACAAGGAACTCCGGATATAAGGAACAGATTTTGAATGTCCCAATGAGTTCGTTATAAGCGGAGTTTACTGTATAAGGAAAACCAATGACCCTGGTTATTTACACAATGTTTCAACATTGTATAAATAACCTCTAGCAAGATTGTTCAAATTATAGCCCTGGGGTCCAAATTGCCCTGGGGTCATTGATATTCAATATATACATATAGAAAAAAATCAAAAAATCTTATTGTCTGAAGGTTCAAGGCTTAGAGCTTTAATATTTGTTAAATGATATCATCTAAAGTTGTTCAAATTCCTTATATGTATATAGTAAAAACTTAAAAAATCATCTCCTCTTAATTTACAAAGGCTAGAGTTAAGATAGTTTGCATGAAACATTGTGTAGTGAACCTCTAGCAAGATTGTACAAATTATAGCCCTGGGGTCAAAATTGGCCCACACCCAGGGGGCATTGATTTTCACTATGTACATATAGTAAAAAATTAAAAAATCTTCTTGTCTGAAGGTACAAGGCTTAGAGCTTTCATATTTGGTATAAAATATCATCTATGGGTCCTCTACTAATGTTGTTTTAATTATGCCCCTAGTGTTAAAATTGCCCTGCCCCAGAGGCGATAGTTTTCCTTATAAAGTAAAAACTTGAAAAATCTTCTCCTGAATTAACAAAGGCTAGAGGTTAAATATATGGCATGAGACTTTGCGAAATGAACCTCTACCAAGATTGTTCAAATTATAGCCCTGGGGTCAAAACTGGTTCCGCCCTGGGGGTCATTGATTTTCATTATGTACATATGGTAAAAAAATAAAAAATATTGTCTGAAGGTACAAGGCATAGACCTTTGATGTTTGCTATATAATATCATCTAAAGGTCCTCTACCAAATTTGTTCAAATTTTTTCCCTGGTGTCAAAATTGGTCCTGCCCGGGGGCAGTGATTTTCATTATGTACACATGGTAAAACAGAAAATAAAACAAATGTTTTCTGAATGGGAGAAAGCTACAGCTTAGATATTTGACTTGAAATGTTGTTTGGTGGACCTGTATCAAGATTGTTTTGAATTAAACCCTTGCCCTGGTCAAAATTTTGCCTTGCCCAAAAGGACAGTGACCTACTTTCTTGTCCTTTGATGTACAGTAATGAAATTTTGACCAAGTGCACAGTTTTAGTTGTAAAATTGAACTTTGATATCAGGTGACCTAGATTTTGATGATGTGACCTACTTTCTTGTCCTTTGATGTACAGCTATGAAATTTGAACCATGTGCACAGATTAAGATGTAAAGTGAACTTTGATATCAGCTGACCTAGATTTTGACAAAGTGTCTTACTGTTTTGTCCTTTGATGTAGTCATGAAATTTAGGCTGTGTGAAATATGACCTTTACCATTGATATATTCCTACTCTGATCTTTTATTGGATTAACAATAGATTTAACCACTAATATGATAATAAGAATTAGATAGATCAGGAATCTATGCATTATGACAATCTTCAATTGCATAGAAACAAAAAAAATCTGTTCCTACACTACTATTTAGTGTTGTATTAATGCGGTGGCATAGCATTTTTCTCAAATGCGATCTTGTTACACTTTGAATTTTACCCGGGACATAACTCTGAAACTATAAGAGATATCATCAGGAAACTTTATAGATAGATAGATCTCATTGAATAGAAGTGCAGTGCAAAAAAAACATAACTCTGCCTTGCCTAATTTTGGAGTTTTTGCCCTTTGTTCATTTTTTTTATACTTTCCTGTGTCCAAAACCTTCTCGGGGAGCATCACCCGGTTCAACCGGTTCTTGTATGTATTGCATAGCATCTAGATAACTAATTTTACAATATTTAACTTTTACAGGGAGGTGTTGTGCCTGGAGTTTATGTATCTACGTTGTATCACTGGCTCAGCTGACGGACGTATCAGGATCTGGAATATTATAACTGGACAATGTTGTAGAATCATGAGGGGAAATAGCCGAAGTGATCCCATTCTAGATATAATTGCCATTGACAATAGGTAACATATGTAGTCATGACAAAATCATAATTGCGTCATGTTTGTAATGAATATACTTATTTATGAAATATCAAGAAATATTGATGAAATAAAATGTGTATTTTCATTTTTCGTATTTTCACTGTTAAATTTATTCTTCACTGCAGTGAAACATATTTTCTTTTTTTTCACTGGTATCTTGCCAATACACAAAATTAAATGAGAAGTCTTAAGAATTGTAAGGTCAAAAAAGAGAAAGCATTATAAGAAACAGAAAATTCAAGTTTTTTCCATAAATGCAGGATGTATCCTCGAGTGACCAGTTTCGACACCCTTAAGCGCCTATAAAAACCATGTGATTGTATTGTATAAAATGTTTTAACTAATATTAAAAAGTCTCTAACCTTTATTAAATGGGCAAATTTAAGCTGTTTTTCCAGCTATTTCTTTTCACAAACAGTCCTCCTTTCACTTCATCCAGTAGCGGCCATTTTTAGCTCACCTGTCACAAAGTGACAGGGTGAGCTTTTGTGATCGCTTTTCGTCCGGCGTCCGTCCGTCGTCCGTCCGTCCATAAACTTTTGCTTTAAATGACATCTCCTCATAAACCACTGAGCCAATTTCATCCAAACTTCACAGGAATGTTCCTTTGGTGGTCACCTTTAAAAATTGTTCAAAGAATTTAATTCCATGCAGAACTCTGGTTGCCATGGCAACCGAAAGAAAAATCTTTAAATATCTTCTTTTAAACAACCCTAAGAGCTAGAGCTTAGATATTTGGCATGAAACATCTTCTAATGAGTGTCTACCAAGTTTGTTCAAATAAAAGCCCTGGGGTCAAAATTGGCCCCGCCCCAGGGGGTCATTGATTTTCCCTATATGCATATAGTAAAAACTTAAAAAATCTTCTTTTAAAGAACCGTAAGAGCTAGAGCTAAGATATTTGGCATGAAACATCTTCTAGTGAGTGTCTACCAAGTTTGTTCAAATAAAAGCCCTGGGGTCAAAATTGGCCCCGCCCCAGGGGTCATTGATTTTCCCTATATGCATATAGTTTAAAAACCTAAAAAAATCTTCGTTTAAAGAACCGTAAGAGCTAGAGCTAAGATATTTGGCATGAAACATCTTCTAGTGAGTGTGTCTACCAAGTTTGTTCAAATAAAAGCCCTGAGGTCAAAATTGGCCCCGCCCCGGGGGGTCATTGATTTTCCCTATATGCATATAGTAAAAACTTAAAAAATCTTCTTTTAAAGAACCGTAAGAGCTAGAGCTTAGATATTTGGCATGAAACATCTTCTAGTGAGTGTCTACCAAGTTTGTTCAAATAAAAAGCCCTGGGGTCAAAATTGGCCCCGCCCCGGGGGGTCATTGATTTTCCCTATATGCATATAGTAAAAACTTAAAAAAATCTTCTTTTAAAAGAACTGTTTGTCAGAGCTAGAGCTTAGATATTTGGCATGAAACATCTTCTAGTGAATGTCTACCAAGTTTGTTCAAATAAAAGCCCTGGGGTCAAAATTGGCCCCGCCCCGGGGGTCATTGATTTTCCCTATATGCATATAGTAAAAACTTAAATCTTTTTAAAGTAAAAACTTAAAAAATCTTCTTTTAAAGAAATAAAGCCCAAAGAGCTAGAGCTTAAAAATCTTTTAGATATTTGGCATGAAACATCTTCTAGTGAGTGTCTACCAAGTTTGTTCAAATAAAAGCCCTAGGGGGTCAAAATTGGCCCCGCCCCCCCGGGGGGTCATTGATTTTCCCTATATGCATATAGTAAAAACTTAAAAAATCTTCTTTTTAAAGAACCGTAAGAGCTAGAGCTTAGATATTTGGCATGAAACATCTTTCTAGTGAATGTCTACCAAGTTTGTTCAAATAAAAGCCCTGGGGTCAAAATTGGCCCTGCCCCAGGGGGTCATTGATTTTCCCTATATGCATATAGTAAAAACTTAAAAAATCTTCTTTTAAAGAACCCAAAGAGCTAGAGCTAAGATATTTAGCATGAGACATGTTCTAATGGGTGTCTACCAAGTATGTTCAAATAAAAGCCCTGGGGTCAAAACTGGCCCCGCCCCGGGGGTCATTGATTTTCCTTATATGTGTATAGCAAAAACTTAAAAATCTTCTTTGAAAAAACCCAAATAGCTAGAGTTTAGATATTAAGCATGAAACATCTTTAAGTAAATATCTACAAAGTTTGTTCAAATAAAAGCCTGGGGGTCAAAACTGGCCCTGCCCGAGGGGTGTCATTGTTTTTAACTATATGTGTATAGTAAAAACTTAAAAAATCTTCTTTTAAAAAACCCAATGAGCTAGAACTTAGATGTTTTGCATGAAACATCTTCTTATGGGTGTCTACCATGTCTGTTTAAATAAACAAATAAAAGCCCTTGGGTAAAGATTGGCCCCGGGTGGGGGGGGGGGTGGGGGGCTATATACAGGTGAGCGACGTCAGGGCCATCATGGCCCTCTTGTTATTGAGAGTGCCCTAAAATGACGCCATTGATTGGCTAATTTAATTACACACTACAGGAGACTGTACACCATAATAATTTTACTGACGTCGTTCTCTAATATAAAGAGCAAAGACCTGCAATGTATCAACAAGTGAAAAATGGTTTATCTATTCTTTATTTCTCTCATAAATAAAGCATAATTATATATGGTAAATGCTAGTGTTGTATTTTTAAAGTGGTTTGGATGGTTGCCCTAGTCTGCTAAAAAAAATAGAGGTTGGAAAACAGCACCTTTACTTTCTTTGTCGAACCTGCAAAAACAAAATAATACACTTAGTGGAGCAACTAATTAAAATATGACAATTCAGTCCATCCAAATAAGATAAACATATCCAATTAATTTCCAATTAACATTCATTCATCGATTAATAACAGTAAAAAAATCTACAACACGTACAGGTTGCTTTAGGGTGAAAAAATGCGCCCAACACAACATTATTGGATAATATTACTGCCACGTGACCTTAGAACAAGGAAGTGAGGTCAGCAGACCAGGAGGTATTTTCCAGCCCATTTTTGCTAAGAAAATAGGACTAAAGTAACGAGCCAAATTGCATTAGTGAAAACATACAAAAATCTCTTGAATAAAGTATAACATGCTAAACCTTACCTTTCGGTGCCTTACTTATTACATAGTTTTACCTTGCTAAAGAGAGGAATCCCCTTTTGCTATAGTGTAGTACAGTAATGACGTAAGCGGCTGCTTATATCAATTATGAGGCAAAATAAAAATGGCGTCGAAATAGGGCAGCAAAAATGTGTCACTCGACGATATTTTCATCTTGTGATATGAAAATTACCTTATTTCACTCATGGCTAACGCCACTCATGAAATATTTATTTATATACCACTGGATGAAAATAAATACTGTATTTATAGATAAAACTTAAATATTCTCTATATATTTTTCTTATTTTCATAAGGTTGTTTATTTTGAGATAACAAAATAGTTATTAGTAAAACAGGTGTTAATGAATATTGATTCGATAACTACTAACTTTTGTCTTGTAATTCTTTGTTAGATATTTCAGTTACTGTTTTATTGTTTTATATATATATATGATGAGATGACCTTGACAGAATGTAAAAATGGTATAAACATTTTACCTTTTAACTTACAGAATTACAATCAACACTGCCATAAATTTGTTAGTATTGAATTTCGAGGAAGTAGAATGGAACTACAACTTAAATGAAGACAAAGTACCACCATTGGTCCAGTATTCTTCTTACTCAGATGCTCCTGTTAGGCAACAACCATATCCCTACATCAGGTAATGGGTTCTGCAAAATAAAATTTGTGAGTTTTAAAGAAGAAAGTTATTTATCTCACTTTAACTGTTTATCTGCTGGAACTGAAAGTGATTAGCCTTTGCCACTGGTATAGAGCGAGGCCAGCATGATCAGACCAGGCAGTGTGCTGTTGATAGCTCAGTCTTTCCAATTTGATACTGAAATCCTTTAAATTTCAAATGGACTGTTCAAATTCAAAGCAAGGCAGAACCATTACACAAGTTCAACAGGTTAACAATTAAAGTTCATGTTTTAACAAAGTCATGACATGAAATATTAATGTACAAATAGATTATTATCGTTTCTATTTTCTTTTCTATAGAGCACAGAGAATGAAGAAAGCAGGGGCTGCTAATACTAAAATACTGAATAAAGAAGAGGTCAAAGAGTCCACTAAACCACCTATACCACAGTTGTCATTTAGAGCTCATCAACTTCCACACAGTGCTAAAACCTTATCTGCCAAAAGTCTTGGAAGTGCAAGAGCTATACAACAAGTGCCTATAGAAAGCGTGTACTCACAAAGCAGGGCTTCTAAAAGTGCCACCTGCATCGATCGAAAAGCATTGTCAATTAAAAGAGCTACTACTTTATCTACTCAGTCTAAACCTCCTTTACCTGGCTCTTCAAAACCCCGTCCACAAACATCAAAGTCTGCCCAATCGGGTTACTCAGTTACAATTATGGATGATGTAGCTGAGCAAGAGTGGGAGGAGCAAGAATGGCGGGAACCAATCAGGCTCCAGCGTAGAATTTCTTGGGCATTTGAACAACCTATAGTGCCAAATACTAAGGACATTTCTCTTTCAGAAACAAAATCACTATTACGGTCGCAGATGAGAATGAAAAATGAAAGCATTGTGCCTCCAGATTTTATTTATCTAACTGTCAATGCTATTCAAAATTCTATGCAACCATCAGAAACTAGTGCTAATACTGAACAAAATATACTAGATAGAAAATTGGACACGCGCCTAAGGAAGAATAGACCATCTTCCTCACCTAGCAAGTTAGATCCGAGAACCCGAATTCCTGTGGAACAAATTGACTTGTCACAATTCCAAGACAAAGAAGATAATGACAGTTTGTCTGAAATTTCAGACCATAGATCTATTAAATCTGCAAAGTCAAAAGACTCTATTCCTGCAGCAACAGACAAAGAAATATATGCTACAAAATGTCAGGTGAAACCTTTGAAAACATCACCAAAAGTAAGTGTACATCCGAAACGTATTCGTACAACTTTACCTAAAGGTAGAGTTATCCGTCCTATATCTGCTTCAGTCACCAGGAAGGAGCCTTATGTTCCAGAAAAGGGAGACGAGTCCAAGTTAGGACGACCAATCACTGCCCCTGCTCTAAGAGTTCGACCTGATACCGCGTCTACATTACCATCTCATATTGCTGCATCAATGCCTGGAGTACATCCTCCAAGACGTAAACAACAAAACATTTCAACTACTGGTTATGAAGCTAACATTGTTCCTATGTTGATGTACCCTGCAGATATGAAAGAGAAACTGGCTACATTACTGAAAGAAAAGCGTCAGCACAGAACAGACGAGCATTTGGAATCAGCAAGTGAAATGGGATTAGGTAAAGTAAGTCACTTCAATGATCCAATGAGATCACATGTAAAGTTTGAGCTTCGCACACACAATCAGGAACGAGATTATATAACAGAGACTGAGAAACACTATAAAGAGAGACAAAAGCGAGAGGAGGAAATGTTGGAAAAGAAGAAAAGAGTGTTGTGGACTGCCAAAGCTAAAGGGGGTAAAATATCACGTGTTAATTCTGCACCTGTAGGTTTTAGTAATTGAGATCAAAAACATTGGCTCAAGATTGATTTTTACTTGTCTCTACATTGTCATATTTTACTATAGATGTGCACCTGAAGCATCTACCACAAGGTATACAATATAGCAATAAAATAACATAGTGTTTAACACTGGTCAGAATTGTGAGTACTTAAAATTATCCTTGCACTAGCAACAGACCTTAATGAAATAATATTGACAGGTATGTGTTTGAAGGCAGTCTTTGTTTGTTGGTAATAGCTGTATATGCATATTTTTTAAAGTATATGAGATCGTCTAGTCCATGGGAAAGTTTGTTTTTGTATGATATTTAGAAATATTTTCTTGTGTATAGATGGTGGTCTTAATATAAATGTCAGTAATATTTCTATTTGACATATTGCTTTAACAAAAAATTACAACAGGAATTGTTATTGGTTTAAAATGTTTATTTTTATGAAAATCTGTATTTAAATTACAAACATGATTTGAATTACATTGACCAGGTCTAAGTCGAATTATTACGCTTAATGAGCCATGGAGACTACTATCTCTTACTGTTGAAGCCTACTCCACCAATTACCGGTCTGTCCTTGAATTCTATCTACCACAATGAGCTACAGCTGCTGGTCTATAATTCTAGGGCATTAGATGGTATGAAAGACTATCATGATGCACTTTAAATATTCTAAGAAAAGTCATTGAAAAAATGATTTAGGACTTTCCATCTTTTCCATTTTGCTCTTGTATTTGACTGGGCAAATGACAGTGGCATCAGAACCTAATTATATTTTATTTAAGAGCTTCCCTAGTGCTTATTTCCCCAGATGTTCTGCATAGAGCATAGAAGTTTATCAGTGATGCACAATATATGTAGCCAAAGTTGTTTTTCTCACTTTTTACACACCACAATTGTATAAAGTAATATTTATTAAAACATTATTAATTGATAGAGCAGTATTGTTGTACATGTGTATTTAATGTTACTCTGTTATGAATTAACTATCCTACTGTGATATTTCTGTCAGCATTATAACATTTTACAAATAATATATACTTCATGACTGAAATGATGCAGCTGCTTTGTTGATTGCCTAATGAAGTTCAACCAATTAAAGGGACACAACTTGTTTTTGATTAAGTGCAATTTTGAATGGACGAAATCACACAAAGTAAATAAATGGACACAACATGATTTTCATTTTTAGCTCCCTGTGGTTAAGTTTTTGCGTGCAAGCTGGTATCTCCATAACTACTGAAGGGAATGGATTGAAACTTCACACACTTGTTCTCTGTGATTATCTAACATGATTGGCACAAGTCCCATAACTCTGATTTGCTTTTTTGAATAATTATGCCCCTTTTTACGACTTAGAAATTCTTGGTTAAGTTTTTGTGTGCAAGCTGGTATCTCCATAACTACTGAAGGGAATGGATTGAAACTTCACACACTTGTTCTCTGTGATTATCTAACATGATTTGCACAAGTCCCATAACTCTGATTTGCTTTTTTGCATAATTATGCCCCTTTTTCCACTTAGAAATTCTTGGTTAAGTTTTTGCGTGCTAGCTGGTATCTCCATAACCACTGAAGGGAATGGCTTGAAACTTCACACACTTGTTCTCTGTGATTATCTAACATGATTGGCACAAGTTCAATAACTCTGATGTGCTTTTATACATAATTATGCCCCTTTTTCGACTTAGAAATTCTTGGTTAAGTTTTTGCGTGCTAGCTGGTGTCTCCATAACTACTGAAGGGAATGGATTGAAACTTCACACGCTTGTTCTCTGTGATTATCTTACATAATTGGAATAAGTCCCATAACTCTGATTTGCTTTTTTGCATAATTATGCCCCTTTTCGACTTAAAAATTCTCGGTTAAGTTTTTGCGTGCAAGCTGGTATCTCCATAACTACTGAAGGGAATGACTTGAAACTTCACACACTTGTTCTCTGTGATTATCTAACATGATTGGCTTAAGTCCAATAACTCTGATTTGCTTTTTTGCATAATTATGCCCCTTTTTCTACTTAGAAATTCTTGGTTAAGCAAATATCTCCATAACTACTGAAGGGTTTGTGCCCTTTTTTTGAACAATTTTATGCATTCATAATAATAAAGGTATAACTGGCTATAGCTTTGTTATTAATAAATGGATTGACTCGATAAAACATCTTAATAACAAGCCCTTGTACCTTTTCGGACAATTTTATGTATTCATATAGCTAAGCATTATTATACTCAATGAAACACACTTGTGACAACTTTTCGAATAGTCGAGCGTTACTGTCCTCCGACAGTTCTTGTTTTATGATGTTGTGATGATTTCTAGATCAATTTTAAATATGGGTCACATGGGGTCAAAAACAAGGCCACCCATATAGGAATGTGGTAAAAACTTGTTAACACTTTAAAGGCTACTGTTTTGGTGTTAATATCCTGGAAATCTGTCAGAAAGGTTATTTCGACGATTTCTAGGTTAAGTTTGAATATTGGTTGCCTAGGGTCAAAAACTAGAACACACAGCCCAAATATATAAAACAATCTAGCTACTGTTTTAATCCAAATATCCTGGAAATGGGTCAGAAAGGTTGTTTTGACAATCTAGGTTAAGTTAAAAATTGTGTTGCCTGGGGTCAAAAACTAGGTAACACGGCCCAAATATATTTTAAAAAAACCTCGTTAACACTCTAGAAGCTACTGTTTTGATCCAAATGTCCTGAAAAGGTTGTTTTTATGATTTCTAGGTAAAGTTCGAATATGGGTCATCTGGTGAGCGATAAAAGGGCCATCATGGCCCTCTTGTTTTTGCTGTAACTGGCTATAGCTCTGTTATTAATGAATGGATTGACTTTATATTAAGACACAACATTCTTTAGGACAAGACCTTTATGTATACCAAACTCGAATTGACCACTGAATTTTCACTGTTTTTTTGCTATAATTGACTGTAATTTGGTGATTATTGAATGGATTATCTAAATACTTGGACAAAACAACCTTGTGGACAAGACCTTCGAGTTACATTGACCTTGAGCTTTAAAATAACCTTGACCGTCGAGGTCAAATTATTGAATTTTGGTTAAATTGTCATAATTTTGTTATTTATGTATGGATTTGATTTAAACTGGAACAAAAGACTTGTGACTAAAAAACATTGATCTTTAATTGACCTTGTCCATCGAGGTCAAAAGAATATTATTTTTTGCTATACTAACTTTGTTATTTTTCAATGGATTAACTTCATATTTAGATACAGCATATTTTAGGTCAGGACTTTCATGTATAACAAACTCAAATTGACCTTGTCTCATGTATGACCTTGCAATGGATTATCTTCATACTTAGACAAAACAACCTTTTGGACAAAACTTTGACCTTGTGCTTTAAATGACATTGACTGTCAAGATCAAAAATATTAAGGTTTGGTTAAATTGTCAATATGAATAATTATTGTACAGATATTGTTTTTTTTTATACATTTTACTTCTATTTTAATGCAGAATTCCATGAAGTGTCAAAGAAATCCCTGTTGTATTTTTTTCTTTCTGTGTATGCTAAGTCTGTGATAATGAAAATTATATTCCACTTATTTATATAAATTGAATGTTCAATAAAAGAGAGAAAAAAAATCTTAACTATTATTGTGTTATATACTCCTCACCCCATTGAATTTGTGTATAATTGCATTCCGTTTTATTATCGCAGGGTTCAGAACTTTTCTTTGTTCTTACTAACCCATTATACTCGGTACACTTTCAATGAGCATTTAAAAAGTGTATTGATATATAACAGTATAGTTATCCCCCGCCAATGGAATCGTGAGGGGGATATTGTTTTGGTGTTGTCCGTACGGCCTTCAGTCCATCAGTCTGTCCGAATTTCGTTTCCGCACTAGTTCTCTGCAACTACTGGCTGGAATTCAATGAAACTTTATTGGAATTATCAATATCAACAGGAGATGGGCATATCGTCGCCTTGTTCCAGTCAGACCCTCTAACTCAGAGTTATGGCCCTTGATTAGTTATGCAGTATACATATAGAGCAAACTTTATGGGAACCTTCAATACGAAGAGGAGATGGGCATATCGCCGCCTTGTTCCGGTCAGACAATTTAACTCAGAGTTATGGTCCTTGATTAGTTATGCAGAATGCATATAGAACAATATTCTTTTCCGTGCTACTTCTCTGCAACTACTGACTGGAATTCAATGAAACTTTATGGGAACCTTCAATACCAAGAGGAGATGCGCATATTGTTGGCTTATTCTGGTCAGACACTTAAACTCAGAGTTATGGCCCTTGATTAGTTATGCAGTATGCATATAGAGCAATAATTGCTTCCGTGCTACTTCTTTGCAACTACTGGCTGGAATTCAAGGAAGCTTTATGGAAACCTTCAATACCATGAGGAGATGCGCATATTGTTGCCTTGTTCCTGTCAGACACTTGAACTCAAGAGTTATGGCCCTTGATTAGTTATGCAGTATTCATATAGAACAATAATGGTTTCCGTGCTACTTCTCTGCAACTACTGGTTGGAATTCACAAAAACTTTATGGGAATCATCAATATCAAGAGTTGCGCATATTGTCAGCTTGTTCCGGTCAGACCCTTTAACTCAGATTTTGGACCTTGATTAGTTATGCAGTATGCATATGGAGCAAAAATCTTTTCCGCGCGACTTCTCTGCAACTACTGGCTGAAATTCAAGGAAACTTTTTGGGAACCTTCAATACCAAGAGGAGATGCTCATATCGTCCCCTTGTTCTGGTCAGACACTTTAACTCAGAGTTATGGCCCTTGATTAGTTATGCAGTATGCATAAAATTATAGAGCAATAATTGTTTCCGCAGTATGCATATAGAGCAAACTTTATGGGAACCTTTAATACCAAGAGGAGATGCGCATATCATCGCCTTGTTCCGGTCAGACACTTTAACTCTTAGTTATGGCCCTTGATTAGTTATGCAGTATGCATATAGAGCAATAATTTTTTCGGCACTACTTCTCTACAATTACTGGCCGGAATTCAATTAAACTTTATGGAAACCATTAATACCAAGAGGAGATGTGCATATTGTTGAAGTTGTTCAGACCAGACCCTTCATTACAGAGTTATGGCCCTTGATTAGTTATGTAATATGCATATAGAGCAATATTGCTATTTCTTTGCAACTGCTGTATTGATTTCAACAAAACTTTATTGCAACCATGGATACAAAAAGGAAATAAACATCTCATTGGCATTTCCATATTTTACTATTTAACACAGAGTTATGGCTCTGTAATTGCCCTGAATAATTATCATGTACAAAGGATATTACTGTTTATGCCATGATAAATATATAAATAAAGCCTTATTAGACTGGTTTGATTTTGGGAAAATGTTCATCCTAACGGCATTTTTTAGTACAAGCAGGTAGTTGGGCTTACATACCTATTTTGAGTACGCTGAATTCATTTTTTGCTCTACCAAGGCTGTATTTTTAGTCCTTGACCTTTAAAAAATCAGTTTCAAAATGGCCGCCACTGAATTTTTTAATTTTACTTTAATTCTCCCATGGGCGAGATATATACACATTTTGTGGCATTTTAATTTAAGGCTTTGCTAATTTTAGTCTATTGAATTGTGGACGAGAAGAATAGATGCAAAAACAATAAAATTTATTGCGGCAGCCATCTTGGATTTCAAAATGGCGGACAATTTCCTATGTTTTATACACTGTATTATAATTAAAGTAAACAAGCACAAGAAGGCATTTTACTAGGCATGTTTTCTTTTATTAGAAGTGCAGTGATACTAATTAAGACTTCCACGCGAAGACTTTGAAAAACATGCATTAAAACTACAAACTTAATGGTGCAAAAAAGTCATAATTTATACTCTAATACAGAGACATAGATAATATTATCTATGTCTCTGCCTAATACAACGTAAATGAGAGTCATATTTGCGTTCACTTTTGTCATTTAGATGTTTTTTACACTTCTAAGAATACAATGCATGTTCTTTAAATTATTGCGATGTTTTTTAAAACTATCGTCCTGAGGGGGGACCTGCTAAAATATCTGTCCGTCTGTCTATCTGTCCGAGCGTCCTCTTGTGTCGGTTAGGGGTATTTGCGATCACACTTTGGCTTTTAGATTAATGCCGTATACCCCCTGACCTATAGGATGAATCATTGATTATTGGAAGCAAAAGGCTGCTTTTGGAGTAAGAAACAAACAAGAAGATAACAGACATCTTCACAAATCTTCCAGTAAGAGCTTGTCCCTGTCAGTCCGTTTGTCCGTTTTTAATCCCGTCCATATCTGTCATTTTTGGATAGATTTTGAAATAAATTGCATTAATGTGTGGCACATTGATATGTACAATGTCATAAGAAAGACTCAGGTATGAAGCTCAACTCCTCAAGTTAGACTTGAAAGTGCTTGAATAAAGATGTGCATTTTAGTATTCTGTCATTTAGAGATGAATTTTGAAATAGTTAAGCATAAATATACGGCCTATAACGGATTGGGAAATGATATACTTTATTTTATTACTTAATCTTCAAAAAATTGTTTGTTTATTGCTTATGTCAATGTCAATTGCGCAAGAACATGTACTGGGACGTGTCATGCTTGAGATCCAATTCAACAGTCCAAAGATCAGGGTCATGTCTATCAAGAAAGGCAATTTTGTAAAAAATATTTAAAAGGTCTTAGTATTTTTAAAAGTAATATAGGAATCGCCATCCAGGCTAGCATTCGAAAAAAAAAAGTTCATGAAATAGACTACTTTCCTGAATAATACAGTGAAAGTTTCTTCTTGAAAGAGAAATATTCCATATGGTGTTTATTCCATAGAAGCCTCTACATACTACATGTAGTGCCGAGCTTCGTGCATGAGGATAGTATTTCATTTACTTATATCAAGGGGAGGAATCACGCCGTTCGTTACCCAAACAAACAAGATGGCGGACGCAGCCAAAAAGTAGGTTTTTCCCTTTTTTCTCTGAAATTCGTTATGTTCTTGTGTAAAGGTACATACAACAACCTTCTACACAATTTTCCTGGCACACAGAAATTTATTTCATGGTGTTTCGTCCCGTACTTCTTCTGAAATGCGCGTCACCAGATTCGAAGCGAGAGAATTTTCCACCGGTTTGATCGTGGTAACGTACGGCTTCTTCACTCAAATTCGCTGTTTCTTTACATATATGTATATTAACTGAAACCACTGACTTTAAAAATTTGTAATATGTTGTTAAGTAATCATTCATGCCCATTTTGGCTAGATTTACTGGTGTAAATATTAATATCGGGGCATTTTCCGGAAATGATAACGTATGGCGTATAAAATATCAATGATAACGTACGGCGCATTTTTCTACTTGGTGGATTTCTATTTGTCCAGTCAGCTGACGATAAATAATTTGTATGTAGGATATGATAGATATTTGAAACAAAAAGTTTGTCATTCAGAAATAAATTATTGAACAATGCTGCACCATCGGGTATCAATATCTTTCTAGCTGGTGGCATAATAGATATTCGTTGTAAATATACCAAGTAAAACACAGGTTTATAGTTTGAGAATATTTTTGTATAAAATGCAGAAGGGAAAGAAAAGCCTCCACTTTTAGGAAACATTTGTGTATTGTTGTCTTCACATTAACTTTCGCCAGTGTTGTGCGATAATTATTTCACGGCGTCTCAACGCCGTGATATTGTGATGGGTAGTTTTCGGTAGCATGGGCATAAGTCACGTGACAAAATGCCTTTCGATTTCTACAGCCGACATTTTATTGATTTTTTACGCAATCATTGTACAGCCCATTTCCGTGAAAAGTTACATAGAAACAGTTTTTTTTTTCAAAACCATATAGAATCTAATCAGTATTTTATCAACACATGAAATATCAGTGTTTTATATTAACACATTTCCGCACATCCTTATGACACACTTCAGAAATTCGCCAGTTAGCATTGTCACCGTACGGAACGAGTTACAGTATCGCGTTTTCCGGTTACAGTAAAATTTTTAAGATGAGAAAAGAAGTAGGGTCGTAAAGTTGTTTTTGTGCTTTGCTTGTAAGGAACAGAATCCGGTATCTAGCCAAATATTTCTTCAGACCCTGCACCCCAGATTTATCGCTAAATTGTCTCATAAATGTGCAGATTTGACAGTTTAAAAATTTGAATCGGGAGACCTACGCATTTTTCTCCCATTCCGACATTATTTAAGCATGCCTAGATAAAGTACATTGTGTAAATCTACAAAACATTAGTCCTTTGTGTTTAGAAACGTTTATATAAAAGTAAATGACCAGTTGAAGAAAAAAATAACCAGTGTTACAGTATAGCGCGAGGTTAATTTTGAAGGGTTACAGCATAGACCTAGCGACTTTGATCCAATTTGTTACAGTTTATACCCAGATTTCGGTTACAGTTTTAGGATACTTGCCAAATTTCAAACAAAGTTCGTGCATCGCTTATTGTTATGAAATTACTCATACCTTTCTATTTAATACATTCTTGAAAGGTTGTACTACTTTTTTTCTTCAGCAGAAAAGTTATACTAGTAGTTTGCTATTGTTTTACTTTAAGTTTCAGATTGAGACTTTTTGATGAATAAGTAATGTCCTAAGTA